AGAGAAATGCTTATCCATGGTGACAGGATAGCACACACGGATTAATAAGAAGGTACACACCCCACCCCTAGTAATGCTACCTAATGGCAGGTAATCGCTTTTCATCATCTATTTTAGATCTTCCGCTGGTTACCATCTTACTGCTAAACAATAGGCCAGTCCTTGTTTTATCAACTTCAAATGTTACAGTGTTACTCGTTGTCTTCCTGAGATGATAGATGAGGACGTCACCCCACCCCCATTCCCAATAGAATCCTGGCATTATTCTAAGCTGCATTTTAACAAGCAACCCGGGTGATTCTGAGATCGCTGGTCCGCCAGCCACACTTAAGAGAAGCACTGGCCTAGCGCGACGTCTAGGTAGAGACACCGGAGTTCCCTCCCAACATCTCTCAAACCCCTGGTTTTTCTGCTTGGCTTCTGGAATTTGCTAACAGAACCTCTCCCCACCGCTGAGGGCTCTGAGAGGCTGGGCCTGGGAGCCACACTGGCACCCACACTGCTCTGGGCCCACGGCGGGTGGACTGGCCCTGCCCTGCCATCGTGCTCCTCTCTGACGTGTTGCCTCCCATTCCCCCAGTTGCATAATGAGGATGAGCAGATTTCCCTTTGGGAACTGGCAGAGCTCTGGCTCTAGCAGATTGCTGAGCATCTGACTCCTTTATAACCACCAGAGTGGTATCTTCAGACAACAGAGTGTACAGAAATGAGACGCACACACCACAGCTAACGTAACCAGGATGAACCTCCCAGATGAGCTGAGCGAGAGAAGGCAGGCACATGAGGACACATACTGCAGGACTCCACTTACATAAAAAATCAAAACCAGGCAAAAAACAAACATGCAACACCACCATCAAAACTCATCCATTGGGATGAAACAGAGGGTTGCCTCTGGGGGAGATAGTGACTGAAGGGCAAGCTTACGAGGGGCTGGTGACGTTCTAGGTTTTCTGTGCTTGTATAGCTGTGTTCACTTTGTGAAAATCTGAGCTGTACAATGATCATCTGTGCACCTTTCTGAAGGTGTATTTCAATAAAAAGAGAAGAAAAACCACGTGGTTCTCCTTCCTCTCCCCTAAACAAGCCCTTCCCTCAGATAGACCCAAGTAGTCAGTATGTGTGAGTGTTAGTCACGCAGTCGTGTCCAACTCTTGCAACCCCACGGACTGCTGCCTGCCAGGTTCCTCTATCCACGGAATTCTCCAGGCAAGAATACTGGAGTGGGTTGCCATTCCCTTCTCCAGGGGATCTTCCTCACCTAGGGATTGAACCCAGGTCTCCTGCATCGCAGGCAGATTCTTTACCGTCTGAGCCACCTGGGAAACCAGAAATCAGCCTTGTCTTTGTGGCAGTGTGAGGTGGGGGAGGGATGTGAGCGCTGCTGGTTGTGATGCCTCCCAGACTTCCAGCGCCTGGCTCCCCGCAGAGTGGGGCGACCCGCTGGGTCAAGCAAGAGGCTGGCGATGAGGTCCAACCATGTTTCCTGGGAAGGCTGACAAGATCCTAGCCAACCAGGACTCGTGTGCCATCTTCCCCACCTGCTAGCAGCCAAGCTGTCCAGGGGGAGGGTGGCGTATGGGCCCCCAGCCCGCCTCCCCAGGCTGCTGGCCAACCCAGTGTAAATATTATTACACTCCTACGCATCTGAAGGACGTTAATTATTAAAACACATGCCACCCAGGGTAGTACACTGTAATTAGGTTCAAATTAAATTAGCATCCTCTTGTAATTAGGACATCAATAACCACTCTTGAGGCACCAGTTTTCTAGCCCCTCCCTGTTGCTTCCCAACATGGGATAAAGCAAGAAAAGGGGTCCATTGCCTCTCTTCCTGGGACACAGAAATAATCAAACCAATAAATAAAGTGGAGGCAGTTGTATGAACCCTTTCTCCACTGTCTGCCTGCCTGCCCTACTGGTTCTGCCCACTGGCAGGGAGGAGGTGGGTGAGGGTTGCCGGGGAGGGTTCTTGGGCGTCAGGACTTCTTCCCAGTGGCTACCTACACCCTGGAGTCTGCAGCATCAGTTCTGGGTCTGGGAAACTTCCCAGATTGCCCGGACTAGCAGTACTGCTCTCCTGCCATCCATTAGCCCGACTCTGCCTTCCTCCTCCTCTGTGACACCTCCCTAAACACTAGGCGGAGGCCTCAGCTTTATCCTGGGGTGAGGCCACTGCTGAGGCTTGTTACTGGTATTTCAGCATCTGCTGCTGCCTCCTGAGCACCTAGACCGCATGTTGAGAGCCTGTGGAGGTGGCCTTGGCACTCAGCAGACTCGTGGCTGTGCCGGTGCTGCTGGGTCTTAACCTGTGTTTGGTGGATGGATGAATGACAGGTGCTCAAAAAATTCTGTTGCTCAACTAGGAAGGTGGATGGGGAGGCAGGGCTTGTAAGCCAACATCAAGGAGCATGTTTTGCACCTCTAGTGGGAGAAGGACCTTGGAGATTTTTTTTTTTTTTTTGGTGCTATCTGTGCAAGTGCTCATGCTGGCTGGCCTCAACGGGGGATGAAAAGAAAATATGCCAAGGCACCCGCACACTCTGAGGGCCTCCTTAAATTCTGTACTTTAGGTGCCTGGCTCACCACACCCTAGTCCCAGCCCTGCCTGGCCAGGACAGACCTCAGGAACTCAATTGCCGTGGTAAAGAGAACATGGAGCTGGGGCTGAAACCAGTAGCAGCAGGGCCTCCGGCCTGGTGAGTACTCTGATCTTTGTCTAAATCAGCCTTGGAGCAAGAAAGTAAGAAGGGGGAAGACTCAGGCATCGTTTCAGCTGGAGAACCATGGAGGGTTTATCCTTGGGCGCAGATGTAACCAAGGAAACTGTGAAGACAGACATGATTTCAGACCCTTTCACTGAAACAGTAGGCTGGCATCTTGCCCCTTTGCCAACTGTGTTCGTGAATACACAGTGACTACCTCCGGGCCCCACCAGAAGGGAGCGAAATGGGTGAAACGGACATTCTCTTCTCTCTGATCAGTCTCCTCGATGGATAAAGATGAGAGACCACGGTTAGAGTGGGCCTGCCTGCAGGGGTTAGAACAGCTTCTCTAGGAGCAAGGACAGAGGGCAGACTGTTCATCACCTGCGCTCCTGCAGCCTTCTCGGGCCCCCACCGGGGCTGTCTGTAGCCATGGGAAATGGTTTACTGGACCATGAAGAGGTTCTGATCTGAGGATCAAAGACACTCCAATCCAGAGAGGTGGCAGGCAGAGCCCGCAAGTCTTCCAGGGAGGAGGAGGTGCAGGGGTTCTGGCTGCAGCACTGCACGGGACAGCCCTCCCCACCCCGCCCTTGGTTCTTCTCCCTCATCTCTCTCCTTAACTAGAGTCACCCCAAGAAGAGGAAGACAGGAGTCCTGGGCAGAACCCCACACGAACCCTGGGCCTGAATAAGTGAGTGTGGAGCAGAATTGCCAGGAGCCAGAATTTTCTGGGGACCCAGACCTCATTGAGGAATGAGAGCTGGCCAGCCAGGCCCCACAAAGCGTCTCCCCCACCCCCCAAGAGTCACCTCCTCTGACTTTCCCCAAAGACTTGACCAAAGAAAGGACTAATCTTAATACATGGCAGCTTGAAGCATCACCCCAGATCAGAATGTGAGGCAGAAAAGTGGGGCTGCCAAGAAGACAGGCCACCATGTGAGTACGTGCCTAGGAAGGTCAGGGCCACAAGGATGGGGCTCTGGAGTTTGGGGGAACAGGCAGGTTCCCTGGACACCATGGGTGCTGGAGCAATGAGTTCCACAACGTTTGCACACCTGCTTTCTCACTCCAAGAAGCTCGGGGGCATCTCACCACAAACACTGCAGCAGCCACTCTTAGGGTGCCCCCTCGGGGCCTAGGAGTCGTCTGGGGTTGCGGGCGCCCTGTCAAGTCAGCAGAGCCAGAGCTAACCTGGACAGACTGGCCCTCCTTGGCCTGGGCCCTGGGCCCTCTTGGAGCCCCTCGTTCTCCAGTGGACACGGGAGGGATCCGGGTGGAGGCCAGGGCCCTCAACCTCAGTGCACTGCACCAGTCTGTCTGGGCATTAGCCTTTCCTTCCGCTGCAGCAGGAAGCCAGAACTCGCCTCACTTCCCTCAGTGAGACCCTGCTGGCCCCTTGGGGGGCGCTGGTGGGTCTGGCCAAAGGAAAGGCCCAGCAACCTCTCACCTGGGCACTGTGTGCTGAGCTGCTGAGGTTCTTGAGAGCAGCCATGTGTAGATGAGTCAAAAGAGAAGACCTGCAGGCTGCTGCACGACGGCCATGGTGCCAGGTATACCCACCAGGCCCCAGGAGTTGCTCCGAAGGACTGCACTGCTTCCTGTGACTGGCTGTTTTCAGGGAGTGTGGTCAGGCACATGGATTAGACCTTGGGGGTCATTTGAGTGTCCAGGTCACCTCCTGGCTGGAGCTGTTGAGATTCTGGGCTCTGGGCTCCACCATCACCAATAAGAGCTGCAGACAGCATGTACTATTTTATTGGGTCTCAAAAGCTTTAAATACAGAAATAGGGAGGGCTGGGCAAAGGGGCAGATGTGGACACGCTGGCATTTGAGAATGGACGTATCAGAAAAATCACATAATCAACAGCTGGACAGAGAGCCGGGGAGAAGGGCGGTCTGGGACGGACGTGGGGTGCCAGTCGGCAGCCGGCCTCGGGGCCAGGATTAAGCCCCCATTAGGACAAAGTCTTTCATGTTTCTTCCTGATTTGAGGACAATTAAAAAAAAAACAAAAAACCCACAAACCTCCAAACAGAAACAAAATCAGCTGGGAGAGACAGCAGAGGGCAATGCCTGTCCTCTTGGAAGACAATGCCTGCCCCCTGAAAGCTGTGGCAGGGGGGCTCTCCCCAGCCCCTGCCCAGATGCCGCCCTACGAGACATTCCCAGACACTGAAGCAAAGCTGGACCCAATCTATGCCCCCGATTTGAGGTCTGGAGCTGAAAACACCCTCCCAGCAGAGGAAGGGGTGCTGGCGTGAGCGGTGCTGGGGGTCAGAGCTGGTGCCCTCCTTAGCGGCTGTAGCCAAACTCATCTGCGTCATCAGCTCGGAAGTCTCCGTAGCGCCACAGGTTCAGCTGTGAGAAAACAGCAAATGGCTCGTCAGGGAAGGTGGGACAGGCTGGAACCAAGATGGCCAAAGCCCCTCTCCCAGCACCCTCTGGGGCTCCTGAGGCGAAAACTCACCCTGGCGCTCTTGGCTGACTCCTGGGCGTTCAGGTATTCTGTGATCTGCGGGGGACAAGAAAACAACGGGATGGATGGTCAAGGTGCGGGGACTTGCAGCTGAGTGGCCAGAGGGGCCTGGCAGAGGCCCAGGTCAGGTCACATCACTCCCCTGCTCAAGGGGTTCCCAGCTCCCTCCGAGGAAAATCCAAGTGCAGAGTTGCCTTCTCCTTGCTGTTTCCAGACGACTCTGCACTGGCTGTTGCAATCGCCTGAAACATGCTTCTCGCCTGTCCACCTGGCTACCTATCCCGCCTGCTCAAGCCTCTGGTTAAGAGTCACCTTCTTAATGAGACCTCATATAACCCCCTTAAAAAATTATGACCACGCCCCCACATTCCTGGTTCCCTTTACTTCTACTTTCTCTTTTTCCATTGCACTCATCGTCTGATGTCTAATTTTGTTGGCTTATTTATTTTATTCTTTGCCACTTCATGCTTGAATGCAAGTTCCATGGGGGCAGGAATGTCTCTTATTCAGAGATTTGCAGATCCTCAGTAAACATTTACAGAAAGAATGAGTAAGTGAATGAACAAACACATCAGGTGTTTCTTGACACCATATTCTTGCCTGGAGAATCCCATGAATAGAGGAGCCTGGTGGGCTGCAGTCCATAGAATTGCAGGGTTGGACACGACTGAAGCGACTTTGCACTCACACAGATACCAGAAACATTATGGGTAGTTCCATATGAGGGACACTAAGATCTCCAGTGAAACTTAAGCTAACTCCTAGGAGTGATCCAAGAAACTGCAGGGAGACTAGGGGTCAGGCCCCTCTTGTCCAGACAAGACACAGTAGTGATCCACAGTGAAGTCGTGTTCCAAATAAATTATCAACCTGCATAACCAGAGCCACAGACCCACCAACCACCCTTCTTCACATGGGGAGAGAGGAAAGGCAAAAGAGCAGGGAGAAGGGGGAAGCAAGGTCTAGTGGAGAGAGAAGAATGTTGGTTTCAACTCTACTGCTTGAGTCCCTCCAACTCAGGAGGGTGGGGGAGCTGGGTGCTGCAGAAGGGCAAGGGGGCTTCCCACCAGCCTGGCCTGTCCCTGGAGGCTGGCATGTCATGGGGAGAGGCTGGGGAACTGGGATGGGAACAGTGCTGAGTGGGAGAAGCCTGGCTCTAATGATCTACCACTGAGTTGGGCAAGGTGGTTCCCCAGCTGGCAGCCCCCATTCTCATGGTCCATCTTAGGTGGCAGTCAGGCTGGTTGCACTCTTCATGAACAGGAGACTCAAGTGTCCAATGGTTGATCCCCAGGGCCATATGTCTCATGAACGAGGGAGGCGGGACTCAGATCCAGCTCCCCACAGGCTGGAGGGGGTTGTGGTAGTCTTTTGGGTAAGTGGCTCAGGCGGCACTGAGTGCTGGGAGCTGCTGATGGGCTTGGAGAGGAGGATGTGAGGATAGGAGAGACAGCACGCTGGGCTGTGAGCCTCTCCGTGCCACCCCTGGCACAGCTTCCTGGCCTGTCACCAGAGGGGATGGACAAAGGGAAACTTTCTGCGAAACTTTCTGCTCCAGTTTGCAGCTGCAGTTTTAGCCAAACTGTCAGCCAATTAATTTGGGAAGTAATTAACTTTTTAAAAAAACCCCAACAAACCCAAATCCATTATCTTTCCCCTGCAGGAGCAGCAGGATGGTGGGTTCCTGCTCCCTCACTGGCTCCCGGGGGCACCCACCCTCCTCTGGGATATTGGCGGCAGGGGACGCCAGGGGCCGCTCCATCCCTACAACATGGACCATTTTTGTCCCGCCCCCCACAGCACGTACCACTTTCTGGAACTGCTTCTCCTTGCGCACCTCCACCATGACTAGCCCCTCCTTCACCAAGCCCAGCCCCACATCCCCCTTGGAGTCAGCGAACTGCAGGGTGACGTGCGGGCAGCCGGCACTCAGATGCTCCACGTTGAGCAGGCACTGCGTGTTCTGGATGTCCCGCACCACACTGTCCACCGCGTCGGTCCGAGCATCCTCCTGCGGCGGGCACACACCCAGGTCAGCGTGAGAGGCTGGTGTCAGCCAAGAGCTGCCAGGGCCCCAGGTTCCGGACCTCCAGGAAGTCTGCCTAGACGTGCCAGCATCACCTCACTCCCCACTCAGCTCCCACCGCCGTGCTGACTCCTCCCACCTACAATACAAAGAATCACCTCCCTGCCAGGGCAGACAAGGGCCCGACTCACCTTCCGCCACAGCCTATAGCTGGCAGACTAGTCTTCATCCAGTGTGCCCTTCCCTACTAGGTTCCCCTCCCCAACCGTGCGCATGGCTCCTTAAGAGCCGGCTCAGATGCTCCAAGGCCATCTTGCCTTGACCCGGACCTCCCTGGCCAGGCAGCTCTGCCTGGCCACGCCCCCCTCCCCGTGATTAACAGACCGTCATCACTGTCTCCACCCCCTCCCATCAGCCAGGGCAGCCCCAGCGGAGGATTTCTGGCAGAGGTGTGACCCGGGCAGATCTGTTTGAGGACATCACTTCTGGTGGCACCGTCTGAGGCTGGAAGGAGCATTGGGAGACAACTGCAGCCCGGAGCCCAGCAGGCTAGAGGCAGAGGCCCCAAGCCGGGGCCACAGTAGGGGCGCAGCCCCGTTAGAGTGGGCGAGGGGGTGGAGGGTGGGACCCAGGAGGGCTTTGCATTTAGTCCCCGTGAGTACGTGCTGGGGCCGCAGCAGTGGACTGTCAGGGGACGGGCCCCTTTGGGAGGAAGAAAGGGGTGGAGACTCACATCTTGGGGCACCTGGATGAAGGCAAAGGCATACTCTGTGGCTTGAGCTGGTAGCACGCGGGTGCTGAAGGCAGGTGGCAGGGTGCCCAGGCGGGTGGACGGCAGGATCTCCCTCTGCAGAGGACACACCGGGCCAGCGGCGTCACACACTGGAAGCCCCCTTGCTCTCGGGGGACGACTTGTGTGGCCAGGCTCCTGAGCACTCTAACTCACCCCCTCCCGCACCCAGGACCTTTTTCCATATACACAGGCCTGCAGGGTCAGCAAAGCCGGGGAGGCAGGGCCTGGTGCCGCCACAGCTGGTGGCTCCAACTGACACAGCCCACCTGACCCACTTTTCCCAATGCCTTCCCACCATGACACCAGCTCCCTGACCACTTTCCCACAGGCTGGGGCAGGGTTGGGGGGCAGGGGTCCCTGGCTGGGAGAGCACTCTAAGATCAGGGTCCTGGCCCAGGTGCGCAGGGCAACCCCAGTTAGCAAGATCGTTTCCTCTGTGTATTCCTGGGTGGTGGGCTGGCCCGGGCTCTGGGCTTTCTATTCACGCTCCCTCCCCGTCCCCCACCAGTCCTCAGGAGCAGCACGGCTCTGAAGGACAGCTTTCTCTCCTGCTTGCTGCGGGGAATGGTCAACACACTCCCAGGCCCAGTCCAAGGGGCATTTCTCCTGGGGGTACCAGTCCCTTCTCAGCAAGCCTGGTTTGGGATGCGCTGGGGTACCCAGGCACCTTGTGAACCAGGAGACGGGGTGTAGAGGGCAGGACTTCACGGCCCCCTCTTCAGAGTTTGGGCAGGAGAGAAACTGGGGCTGTGACTGGGCCTGGACAGGAGACTGCTCAGTGCTCAAGGCCTCTGAGCCAAGACGCTGCCCAGTCCCTCAGGACTCGGGCCAGTCAGACGAGCAGCAGAGAGGCCCACAGGGTCCCCATCTGTCAGGGAGGGAGGGGGAGGTCTAAAGCTCAGATGGACTTGACCTAGGGGCCGGTGTGTTGAGGGGCCCCTCCCAGGCTGCTCGCCCACCTCCGACCCTGCACTCACGTTGCCGTAGTCGATGTAGAAGACGTGTACTTTGGCAGGAGACTCAACTTTCTCCACTCGGGCACGGTACCTGCAGTGGCATCACGGGCAGAGCTCAAGGGATAGCCTTGAGGAGCCCGGACTCCCCAGAGCCTCAGCGATGGCAGGCCAGGGGGTGCAGTGTTTCCCCGCCCAGGGCTCAGAATGAACACCCATGGGTGTCACAGGGGGCCAGATTTCGGACTCCACCGGGACCCCATCTAATGGAATCAGAGCATAGCTGGGAGCAGAGGGAGGGAGAGGGGAGCATGTGGAGCAGATTAATGTGTCCTTGGGGCATAAAGCAACAAGACTAATGACTAGATTGATGTCTGCTGTTTAAACCCAGCACACTAAACAGCAGCTGTAATTAGCTGGCAGATCTGTCTGGGAGGCCGCAGCAGGGAATGCATCCAAGTCACTTCGTCACCCTGGGAAGGCCATGGGCCCTATCTTTGGTAGATCAGACGTAAGTGACCTTCCTGCAACCTGGGAGTGCTGCTACTCCTGTACCAGACAGCTGGGGTGGAGGGTGGTGGCTGGTCTGGGCTCATAGGAACCAGCGTCTCCCCTCACCACCCCTGCCCTCTCCTGATATCATCTTTCCTGTGTGGGGTGATGGGGTGCTGGATGGAGAGCTGCAGCCAGCCAGGGCACCCCCAACAGAAGAGCCCAGGAGAGAGGAGAGATACTCCTGTACCTTAGAGACCGACTGCAGAAAAACTGGGCTACACTGTTGCAAATGGGCAACATAGAGGACCACTCTGGAGAGCTGGCCAAGGTCAAGAGCGACTGACTACTCAGTGGAAAGCAGGCCGATATGGCGAATGCCTCAAGTCTGGCTGGTGCTTCTGCAGGCTGGGGCCCTGGAGACAGACCTCCTCTTGCTCCTGCTCAAGACTCTGCCTTGCTTGGATTCAGGTGGCTTACCATTCTCCGTCTACGAATTTGGCGATGCAGAATTCACCCCGGCGGGGGGCATAGGAGCCCTCGACGGGAGGGTGGCTGGCAATATCATTGCGCATGTTCTCCATCAGCTTCTCCAGTTGGGTGCCTGTGGGGAGGAAGAGGGAGTGAGACCTGGGTACCACATTCCCTGGAGCCTCATCTCTAGATGGGGCTGGGTGGAAGATGAGCCTGGGGACTGGGCAGGATGTGGACTGCTGCAAGGTGCCCACAGCACTGGCTTGCCCCCATCCTGCAGGGAAGTTCTCTTTGGTCCCTGCTCGAGGAAGTTCATGATATTTTGCAGACATTTCAGGCCTAAGAGGAACCCAGCCTTCCACTCTTGGCTGTCCCTGGGGATGTGCAGGGAATGTTCCTGGGCTTTGGTTTAGGAGGTGTAGAAAGTGAGTGGACACCAAGCAAGGCCCAGGCCAACCTGCCTTTTCCATTCCTACCAGGGTTGGCCCTGGCCTGAGCCACAGAAGTGGTGATGGACAGTAGCTACTCTCTGCCAAGTCACCCAGGGACAAAAGTGGAGCTGAAGGAGGGGGCCCCCTATGACCCTGAACAAGGAAAGGACCTCAGAATCTGGGCTGTGAAAGATGGGAGCGATTCCGGGAGCGGGGCCCAGTCTCAGCCTGTTCAGATGTGGCCGCTCTGACGTGACGCGTCTAGAGACATGTGCGGAACTGAACCTCCAAGCGCTGCCAGTGGTTCCACCCTCCCAGCCAACTCACTGCCCTCCTCCATGGGGGGTGGGACCCCTTCCTTGCCTTTTCTTTCCTGAACCATTCTCCCTGGGTCATCCACCCTGTGGCTGATCTGTCTGTCCCTGGGTGTGGCAACCCCAAGGTCTTCTCAGGGGCCCCCTCCTGCCGCATCCCGTCACCACCCTCCTGCTAAGTGTTAGTCCCTCTGGCTCTGATTCAAGCTCTACACCCGGCCTTTTTCCACCAGCTTCGCTTTCCAGGGGGAGGGTGCTGGAGTGGGGCGTGGGGGTGTGTGTGGTGGCAGCGAGGGATTCCTCCCCACCCTCAGGGCCCGGGGCCGCCCTGTTACAGGAGCCTGACACATGTTAGCCATCGGCACACTTGTCACAGGGGGCCTTATCCATTCCCATCTGGTCTGTGTTTCTGCCACTGCACCGTGAGCTCCTTCAGGGCACAGACCACAGCTCACTTGGTTCTGTCGCCTCTTGAGACCTCGTAAAGCTCCGGCCATGCAGGGTGCTTGGCAACTGCATTGTGTTGATGAGGGGTCTGCAGGTTTGCGCCTGTCCACACTCGGGCCCTGCCCTGGCCTTCACAAGATGGTTTCAGGGACTTTTTAGAAGCAGCTGCCCTCCCCCTGCCTGGCAGTAAACCCTCTGTTCTCCTGCGCCTGCTTTTCTGGCCCAGACAGTAAAATTTCAGGGACTTAAAAGCCTCCTCTACACAGATGAGATCTTGTTATACTTGCTCTATTATTATTATTATTTTGCTCCAAGGCAACAGCTCTGCGAATAGCAAAGCCCTCTGGGAGGTCCTTACACAGAACCTGGTTGGTCATGGAGGGCCAATAACAACGCATTCATTACTTCACCAGATCCTTCCCGAAGGCTGGCTTTAATTAAGAGAAGGGAAAAACGGCCAGAGGATGTCCCTGCCTCCCAGAGGGGTGAAGGGTTTCAGGAGAGGGAGGCTGTGTATGCCCAGGTTCCTGTTCATGGATTTGATGGAGGGCAGGGTTTTCTCTGGAGCTCACAGCCATCCACATGGCGTGCCATGCAACATGTCACTTGCTCCTCCAATCTTCCAACAATACGTGGTTCCCCCCAAGGTCCCTTTTTCTTCTTGTTATCTGCCTTGGCTGCTGCTGGTGCAGTGTTCTGGCTTCCGAGAGCTGTCACCGACAGCCAGGCGGGGTGCGGAACGGATACAGGAAGCCTCTGAGGTCACAGACGCTACAGGGAGGCCTTGAACTCAGCCTCAAGCTCTGGCCCCTGGAGACTCCAGCACCTGTTCTTACTCAAAGAGAGTCCTACCTGGCAGGACCCAGAGGCCAGGTAGAGCCTGTGGGAGCCGGGGTTCCCTGGGCAGGTCTCCTTTGAGTTCCCTTTCCCCAAGCTCCCGGAGGGCCTTCTTGCTGGCTCCTGGGCTCAGGAGTAGCTCTCATTCCTACCTGGGCCACCTTTCAGACTTGAAGGCTTCCTCCTGGCTTCATTCCCCAGGCAGTGGCCGGGCTCCTCTCACCAGGAATGCTGCTGACCACGAGAGAACCTAACGCTGCAGGCTCAGCAGCTCATCTCAGCCCCGCCAGCCCAAGGTTCAGAATGGTCAGTCTCCCCGGTGAAGTGACATTGCCACAGACGCAGCTACCTGGGCAGTGTCGTTGGTGGGGAAGTGGCTGACACGAGGTTGCCGACCACTGGAGTGGGCCTGGGGGTGGGGCCGAGGAGGGCAGGGAGAGCCGCACTCTGTCACCCTCAATGTCACTGACATCTCCCGCCCCCTCGCCTTGCAAAGACCTGGTTTCCTCGACCAAGAAGTAGCTTAAAGGGCTTTTTTTCCTCTGATCGCAACTAAAATGTTTCCCCGCACAGGGTGGCAAACGAGAGAAGGGAGGTGAGGAATGGACAGAGAAAAGGCAGTGGAGGTGGGGAGCTGGGCCAGAGGGGCCCCAGTGCGGTTGCCGGGAGAGCCGGCCCTGCTGCCCTCGCTCCTCTGGAAACCCGAGCTCTCTGCCGAGAGTGGGGGCGGGCAGGACGGCGGGGCGAGGACCCTGGCCTCAGTGCACAGCACAGGAGGGCAGGAGGAAGAGGGAGGATGCAGAAGGAGGGTCTTTCAGAAAGACTTCCTGGGGATGATTTCCCCTAGAGTGCCGCCTGTTTCCATGGCAACCGGTCACCACTCGGGGCTTACAGGAACCTCGGGAGGAGGAGAAACCCCAGCAGAGACAAGCCCGGGCTCCCCCCACCCTGCCCTCCTGGGGGAGGCTTAAGGGCAGAGGCGCTGAGCAGAGCCGGCGTGCACTTCCCGGCCACGTGGAGACAATCTGTCCATTGCTTCTTGATGGGCTCCGAGGGCACCATCCTCCTGCCCAGCTCCGCCAGGGGTGTCTGGGAGGAAAACAATGACCTCAGAGTCTCAGAGCACCACCCAGACAGGGCTGGTGACCTCACCAGTCCTCAGAGGACCGCTCAGCCTCGCCACCTCCGTTGTGGCTGAGAAATGACCTTGGGCCCAGAGCGCCGCTCAGGGGCCTGGGAGGTGGGCAGCAGCCGCAAGCTAGGCAAGGAGGCCCCTGGAAGCCTGGGTCCCACCCCCTGCCTGAACAGGGGGCCCTGAGGTGGGCCAGCCCCGCGCCAGGAGCTGTGAGGTGGTGGAAACAGGGCCAGGTGTGTGCTCACCTGTCTCCACATCCTGCACATAGAAGTGCAGGTCATCGGTGATCTCCGTCACAAACACCGGCTTGTAGCTGGCCGAGCGCTCCTTCTCCTCCAGCACGGGCATCACCTCCTCCACGGGCTGCTCCTCATAGTGGGCCCAGACCTGCACATGTGGTCAGCAGAGGGGAGGTGAGGGGTTCAGGAAGTGAAGTCAGAAAGGACGCCAGGAAAGGGGCTCTGGGCAGGGGGAACCACTGCTCTGGGGACGAGTGTGGGGACGAGTGTGGGGGTGATGTTGCATCATGCTGGTCTGAGCCCCTGGAGGGCAGACATGGGGGTGGGGGAACTTCCAGTCCAGCAGCTCCCAAACTCTGAGGCGTCCAGAACAACTGGGGATCTTCCTGGGAATGAAGGTGCCAGGGTACCCCTCCCTTCCTGCCCATCAGGATGTGCTCTAAGGGTCCCAGGGAAAGGGAATCAAAACTCAAGACTCCTAGCGACTCTCACGCACGCAAGCGTGAGCCCCTTGGCCCTGTGGTGGTGACCAGTCCCTGTCCCTTTCCCTCAGCCCCTATGAGGGCCACTGAACGCCCCAGGCCCTCCCACCGTCACAAGGCCATGGGCACTCCTGAGGCTCTCCAAGCGACGGTGCTGGGCCGCGGAGGGGAGGGCCACCACTGTGTAAGGGTGCTCGACCTCCGCACCTCACGGAGGTTGCTCTGACCCTGGTTTGGAAGCCGGGCCGCCGCCCTCCACCCTTCCCTCTCCCTCCCTCCCCCAGCCCTGCACTGTCAGGGCTGCAGTGCTCAGAAGCTGATGCGGGGTGACAGCGCGTCAAGTCCAATCCCGCGGCCAGGAGATTATCCCAGTAGTGAGGCCTGTCAGAGTGAGGGAGGGAGATGGCTTTCCAGCTGGGCGGCAGAAAGGGGCTGGGGAGTCCAGGGGGCGGAACTACACATTGGGTCCCACAGACACACACATACAGGACTCGGGCGGGCAGTGACAGAAGTTATTAGCCCAAACCTTATATGCTCACTTGAGGCCACACTAAACATTACCCAAGTACTAGCTCATCTAATCCTCACAGCAACCTTTTCAAAAGGGATCAACATTACCCCCGATTTTACAAATGAAGAAACCGAGGCACACAGGCTTGCTAGATGTAGCAGAACCAGGATTTGAATACAGGGGGACGGGCCCTAGAGCCCTTCAAGGGGAATTTTGGCATCGCCTGGGCCCCTGAACACAAAAGGCAGCAATGAGCAGTGGGAAAAATCATAGGTGGGAGTTGTGGACTCCGGTCCTTTCATTTTCCCCTTTAATTTGCTGTGTGACCTCAGTCAAGTCACATACCTTCTCTGAATCTCCTTTTCTTCCCCTGCAAGAGGTGGTAGTTGGGCCACGTGACCCTTCTGCTACACACAGACTCCTGGGGCATGGTGGGCCAGTGCACCAAGAAGCATATGAAAGCTGGAATTACTGAACCACTCTGGACCATACCCGTTGAAACCATGGTCCTGCCTCTAATGTGGCACGAGTGCGTGTCCTTCCACTGGAGGGAGAGGCCTGGGGCCCGGGAACTGGAATGAGCAACAGGGACTTTCTGAGCCTGGGGGGGCGCTGCTAGGGAGTGGCGGAGACTCGCCAGCGGCATTCCTGGCCCAGCAGTCTATCCTCTGCGCCATCCCCACCAGCACCACTCTCCCGACTGTGCCCCTACCACTGTAGACCAAGTCAGGACCTCCCTCCGCCCTTGTTCCCTGCCTTTCCTGGGGCCCCTGCGCTGGCTCCTGAGCTGGCCCCCATCCTAACCCCACCCCATTTCCCTCGGCTGGAGGGGAGGGAGGCTCCTCTGCCTCGTGGACAGAATGGGAACAGGGCTGAGAGTGGAAACTCCTCAAGCCAAGGTGCCTCATGACAGCGTCAGGTTTCCTCCTGGAGAGAGAAGGTGGGGCGTCTTCCCCGGCAGGTTCAGGGGGCAGCGGGGTGGAGGTCAGGGATGATGCAGACAGAGCCTCGGGGTGGTCCTCGGGCCCCTTTCCTACCAGGAGGCAGAGGCCCATCCTATGGGGTCCCACAGCTCACAGGGCAGCGGGCAGGTGGGGAGCAGAGGACACTGCCGCCTCCGGGGGTGAGAACACACTGGAAGCCTGAGGCTGCCCAAGGCCAGAAGAGGAGGGGCTGCTCCCCAGATGGAGTGCTCCATTTCTAAGAGGGCAGGCCTGGCCCTCAGTCACAGCGCCCTGCAGGGTCCCTGCAGAAGCTGGCGAGTGTGGCCCAGTCAGGTGGCTTTGTGGTGGGAAGGAGTCAGTCAGCTGGAGGGCAGGTCCCCACCCTCAAAACAAGGGCGAGCTGGGCCCACGCCGACTGCGGTTCTCTCTCTGCAGAGCCTGGGCAGGGAGGGGCACACACGTCAGCCAGACACCCTCTGTGACCCCTCGGTGGCCCTGGCTACAGATCCCGGGGGCCAGTGGGCAGGGAGTCCTCTCCCTCCCCTGCTCCGCACTGCTGGGTCAGCCACTTCCTGTCCTGCTCAGATCCCCTACACCCCGGGGCCAGCTTAGCAGCAGAGAAGAGGCAGTCTCCTCTGTCCTCACCCAGCCCCCGCCCACCCCTCACCCCCCATTCCCCTGCACTTCCTCCCGGGGAGCCCCAGGTCCTCCTCCCGGCAGGCTGCGGGCCGTGTGGACCTGAGGTTCCACTGCATGGAACCTTTCCTTTCCAAATCCTATTTAATACCAGAGGAGGGGCTGGCGTGTGGCCAGGGTGGTGAAGGCCTGCAAGCCCGCAGTGGGAAGCTAAGCTCAATAAAAGCCAATCAATGGCCAATCCAGGCCTGTCAAGGGCCCTGCCGAGGTACGAGTGGGGCAGGGGGTATGGGGGACAGACAGCTGCCCTCTGAGGCTCCCTCTCTGGCCCTCAGACCTGCCCAGGATCCCGAGAGGAGGGGGAGGGGGAACCCTGCACCAGCCTCCTACAGATTAGCCTCTTCATTAAGGAGAGGAGACGGCAAGGTGCAGGGGGATCAGGTCTTGCCGGGAGGCAGCTAAATTCTCAGAGTGGGGAACACAGCATTGTTGGGGTTCCTCATTCAGACCTCCTCACAGGCACATAATCACACCCACCCATGACTTCTATGTGCCCCTGGTTTCACAAAATCTCTCGGTATTGGCTTTCTCAGCCCACAGGGACCATGATGATCTCTTAACCCCAGATATGTCCATCTCTCGACAGCTAAGGCAGCTCTCATGGGGTCACCGGCAGGGCCAGGCTGGGGATCCTGGGGACACCTCAGATACGAAGTTTACTGCTGCCCAGCTGACCACCAGATTCTCCCGTCTGAGTTCAGCTAACTGGGAGGGCTGCTGCAAGGCTCTGCCCACGCTGTTCCCAGACAGCAGCCCCACCAGAAGGAGGGAGCTCAGGCTAGGTTCCCCCAGGCCTCAAGGAGGAGGGGATGTGCAGGAGGGCCCCAGGAGGCGGGCGGGCCCTTGCACTGAGAGTGGTGTGCTGCATTTTAATTGGACTGGAATAAAACCACGCAGCCTGTGTAAGTAATTAATCACTGGTAATTACTCCTCAGCACCATCACGTGGCACGAGAGAAATGATGACTTGGGTTCTTCCAGACAAATCCACTGCGTAGTAAATAGTGATGCCTGGCTCAGCACCTAAGCAAGGGACCACGCTTCGGCCAGACTCTGTCCTTTCCTCGGTCCCTCTGGGGTCTCTACTCTCAGACGGCAGAAAGCTACTCAGATCTGAAGAGATGGCTTCCAGGCTCAGGTGCCGAGTAGCCAGGGAGTAGGGCCAGGGGGCAGAGATACTTTCAGAATCTGGGCCTTAGAGGCAGGTGCTTGCTGAAATGTCCCACAGCTGTTAACTCGTTCCACCTTTGCACCACCTCTCCTCCATTCCCTGCAGTGAGCAGAGGACACAGCGGGTGTCAGTCTTAAGTTAAGCTGTCACAGAAAGGAAACCCAATAGGAACTGCCTCGGCTGTAGGAGCCGAGGCTGCCTGCTTCCCCATCACTCCAGGAAGACAGGCTATAATGGGAGCTGTAATGGAAGCAGAACTGGGACAGAAGTGGAATCCTCCCCAGAGGCCCCGTGGTGGCCTGCTAGCCCCTCCAAGACGTGGGCAGTCTCTTCCACCTGTCTTGGCCTTTGGAGCCACCTCTCCCTGGAGTCCTTCCAGCTCTAGTAGGGTCGATCACCTGTCCTAATCCTAGGGGATGAGACTAAGAGACACAGAGATCCCAGAAGTCCTCCGGCACCTGGTGCCTGGCCCCTGGGGGAAGTGTGATGCTCTCTCAGAGGAGAGGTGGGAGGAGCCAGAGGATTCTGGGCCCCTGGGCCCCCCACTCCTTTTGGCAGGTGTCTAGGCCTTGGCTCTGAGAGGCGAGTTGTAAGCCAGATGGCTGCCCCATGGGGAAGGAAACATTTATTCCTGGAACAAATTTATGGCTCAGCATGGCTGTCCCATGAAATCCTCCTCAAGCTCCGAGAAGCCCTGACAAATTGGTGGCCAGCTGATTTATCCCCATTATCGGGGCTGAGCCGTAAGTCAGTGGCGACAGGCTGTGGGGGTAGGGGCAGGGGGCTGCTGAGCCCGGCTCCCATCACCAAACCACTGGGTTCCTTAATCGTCCATTTGTTTCCAAAAGCTGCTTTCCAACCCACCCCCCTTGTCTCTTCAATGCAGTGTCTGCCCAGACTGATGGGCTGTAAATCTGCTGTCCTAACAGCTTTATGTATCTCCTGGGGCAGCTTCCAAAATGGGCTTCCCTGCAGGGCAATGTGAAGGAAATTCAGACGTGGGCTGCAGGCCACCCGGCCCCTCTGAGAGCACTGGAGGGTCAGGGCGGGGGAAGGAAGGCCTCTGGTCTCAGGTGACCCCAGGCTCCAAGGTCATTGTCCAGGCAGCTTCCGGTGTCAAGCCCACCAGAGCCGGGGTGGTGGACAGGGGCGCTCAGAGAGGGTCTGGGGCCTGCCTCAGCGTGGGGTCTGACACCAACACCAGCCAGAGTCACTCAGTTGACGGGGGACAGAAGCGCTTCTGCCTGTAGTATGGAGGCAGCAGTGCTGGTGTGGGGAGACGGGAGGGCGAGAGAGGGCAGCCGCTCCTTCCCCGCCGGGCCCGGTTCCACAGCCTACCTTCTCCTTCTTCTGCTTGGCGGCCTCCTCGGCAGACAGCAGGGATTTGTAGTAGGTGCTGCGCTCGGCGGTGAAGTGGACCTTGGAGAGTGCGTGCTCCACCAGCAAGACGGACAGGTTGGCGCCGTCGATGTGCAGCCAGCCGATGAAGTTGCCGGCCTTGTCCATGCTCTCCACCTCCACCTCTACCTAGGGAGCAGAAACGGGGGTGTCAGCTAGCAGCAGGGGCCTGGGGTGGGCAGGGGAGGAGGGCGGCCCCGGGGCCATTGCCACCACGGTCAGCCCACGGGCAGGAACAGCTGCAACGGTGAGTCAGCGTGCGAACGGGGGAGAGCGTCTGAGAACCCTTCAGCTCAGTGCTGTGAGCTGGGCTATGCTTTTCAGCTTCTTGCACCCCAGACTCACCATTGACAGATGTGTCACTGACAAACTTCAGAACTCCCCTTTCCTCAAATCCCCTCCCCTTCCTCTTGGCAGAGAGCTACTAGGGAAAACTTAACTCTCCTTAGTTTTAAGTGAGCTGTGTGTGTGTTTGTACACAGCTAAAGGTCAGGGGTGAGTCAGGCAACACCTACTCCTCTTCAGCACCCACTGAGCCCTAGCTCTGCTAGGAAGACAGGCAAGCCTTGGGTGGAAGTGGAGAGCAAGGCAATCCCCAAGGAAGGGAGAACCTGTGTTCTTCCTGGAAGAGCTGAATGAAGTCATGCTTAACGAAGGCAATAAAAGTGGGATGAGAGCCAGGTGAGGAGAGGAGGGAAGGGGGCAGGTGGGCAGAAAGCACCCTGATGCGCAGGGGTAGTTAGGGAGTGATTCCAGCTGGAGGTTACCCCTTTGTAGGGGTGTGCTCACCGCCATCAGCCCAGACCTCGGGGTTGAGCACAGTGGCTGATCCCCAGAGCCGGCAGGATCCCTGCAGAGCCCAGGGACCCCCGACCCAGCACGGATGCCGCTCCGCCTCATGAAGGCAGTGGCCCAGGAGGAATTCCTCCTCGGCTTCTCTCCCAACCTCTTCCCCTGCTAAACGGGCCTGTAAAAACCTTCACTGCTAAACGTAAAAACTTGTATTCATTTAAACGGCTTCAAGCTCGATTAAGCAATAAAATGAATGTCTAAATACCTGGGAGTTCTCTGAAGCCTGGGCCAGAGCCAGTGGCAGCTGCTGAGGACACGAATAGGAAGGACCCAGGGTCCTGCCTTCCTGGTCCTGCTCTTGGTTCCCCGCTCTGCCCTCCCTCTTTGCACCCAAGCGGCCTCTGTTTCCTTATAGGGAGTCGCGTCCCCAGCATCTCTCCCGGCAGAGTTAGGACTCCGCCAGGTGTTCTTCCTATTTGCGAACACCCTCTTCCTACACGAAGCCCTCCGTGACCCTTTCAGGCGTGAATGCAGGTTCAACAATGCCTGAAGTGGGGGTGTACTGTAGAAGGGGATACGAAGAGTTTATTAGAGCTAGAAAAAGAAGGTATTATACTCATCTGATCCAACTTGATTTTGTTAGTGGGGAAACTGAGACACAGGGGCAGTGGGGCCAGAACTGAGAGCAGAGGCCAGGCTGCCCTGCTTGCCTTCTTTCTCCACTGCCTGCTTGGCGCCTCCCCTCTTCTCCCCTCAGCCCTGTCTCAAGAGCATCCTTCCTCCAGCCACACCCCTGACCTCCCCACCCGACCCCTCCCCACACTGTCCACTGGGTTAAGGCCGGCTCCACCATCATCCAGGACCCTGGAACTTGCCCCTCCCTGGTGGAGGGCCAGGCTTTGTTGGGTGTTGTCCACCCGACACGGGCACCACGCTGCTGAGGGCTGGAGGAAGGGAGGACCCACAACTGTAGATGGCAAAACTGGTTTCCCCTTTCTCTAATCCTGGCAATTAATTCATTGGGAGGACCTGTGTGTGTGGCAGAGAACAGGTGGGCACAATGGTACATGGTAAAGCACAGGTGCCTCAAGAGCTTGCTGGCCAGTAAATTCACTGGAGTGAGTGATAAACTGCCCGAAGAGCCCTCTGCCACCTTGCAAATGCCCTGGGTGCTAGAGCATGGGGCATCCCGACAGTGGGAGGGCTAATGGTGGAGGAAGAGGCTGCAGGCTTGTTGGACTCAAATGAGGACAGGGATGGAAGGAGAACATATGGGAAGACCACCTCTTCTTCATTTGCTGCGCTTTATCAAGCATGCTAAGATCAAGCGGCAGCTGATCCCAGACGACTTCTGGGAGGAGTAGAGGACTGCCTGCCTTGTGTTTGGGGGCTCATGAGACAATGGGTAGAGTGGGGGTGCCAACGCTGGCTCCTACCACCAATCCACAGGGCTTCTTTGCATCTGGGGGCTCTCGAAATACCTCCTCATGCCCAGCTGAAAACAAGTCAAATGGGTACAGTTCCCAGGCCCACGCCAGCGCCTCCTGTCCTCTTCCACTGTGTTCGTTGCCAGGTGTCCTTTTCCTAAAGCCAGGATGGCTGCCCTGATCAAGCACAAGACCTCTCTCCAGCCCCCAAGGCTCATGGTGGGCCGCTGCCGCTGTGACGAGAAGCCCGTGGCTTCCTCTCACACCAGATTCCTGTGGTGGAGGTAAGGGCCTGAGACAGGAGCTTGCAGAGGCGACCAGACAGGTACCATCCATCTCTCCTGTCAGGTGCCCAGGCTCAGACCCTACTCGCCAACGTCTAATTCACACCTCACCTCTGAAGCCACAAACCAGATGCTGGCCTCTCAAGGTTCCTGCCAGGGGCAGACGCTGGCAAGTGACTAAGCAGCCACACCTGGGGCCAACACCGCTGGGGAGCAGCCAGGCTCTCTTGGCAGGTGAGCCCTGGCTTCACACGTACCCAGCCTCTCCCTGCCGGCAATCGATACGCTAACTTGGGCTTGACAAGCCCCTGGGCCCAGTCGGCCGCAGAGGAAAGAAATCTCTGGCCCTGGGCACCGTGCTGCTGCCCAATCCATCTTGGGCTGTAGAGGGAGAGATAAAGCTGTCGCCTGTGGGTCCCCGCTCCTTCTTTTATTACAGCCGCTGCCACCACAGTAATTTCTCATTCAAACAATGGGGCTTTAGGGAAGGTAGGCTGGTCTTAGAGGAGGGATGGGGCTGGGCCAGTGTTCCTGCTGCACCTGGGTCTCTGGGCTTCTGGCCTTGCTGGACATGCGCCAGCCTAGATGCGCAGAGGGTTCAGGGTGAAGACTGAAGTCTTGACTCTACATGGGGACCAAGCAGAGGGTGTAGCGGGCGCTCCCAGGTTGGTCTACGTGTTCATCCTTCATCATGTCTCTCTCTCACACTCACTGCTGAGAATCTGTGACTTGATTATAAAATTACATGGGTCCGTATCTGTGATGGGCTTCCTTGGTGGCTCAGGCAGTAAAGAATCTGCCTGCGATGCAGGAGACCCAGGTTCAATCCCTGGGTCGGGAAGATCCCCTGGAGAAGGAAATGGCGACCACTCCAGTTTTCTTGCCTGGAGAATTCCATGGACAGAGGGGCCTGGTGGGCTACAGTCCATGGGTCACAAAGAGTTGGACATGACTGAGTGACTAACACTTTCAGCTCTTCCTATCTGTAAAAGCTCCATTTCTCTGTTCAACTTTAAGACTTACTCTTAAGACTCATCAAATTTCTGGTATTTTTCTCCTAATTAAAAATATATATACATACTCTCTCTAGTTATCTGTGGTACTTATCACTATAAAGTTACCATGAACAAGGAATTAGGGAATCCTGGACCACTGCCTCCTGGGGAAACACAGGGTTAGGTTCCTACAAGACTCCAGCCACATTTCTACCAACTTATCAATACCTAACCTGCTTCAACGAGGGCTTCTGTTTAAAGACACCGTATTTAATACATACCGATGATTCATTAACATTGAACTCACAGCCAAGAGCGCTGTCACTCATGCCTGAATAAAGCTTATCTAACACATGGATTTTCTCCTTAAGGCACATCACAGCCGTCCTGCTCTCAGGAACACTAGACAGCACTTCAGCACTATGCTTGGAGGCCATTTTTAACTACAACATAAAGTGCAGAAACCCTGAAAACCTCGGTGCTAAGCAGACCATGAGTAGGACACTTGTTTGCAGGATGACAGCTGAAATAAGAAGGCAGAGCTACCGCAGGTGCAGCCTCAGCTGAAAATGTACTCCCCGGGAGACTCGCTACTCTGTGTAAGTTCAAAAATGATCCAAAAAGTCACAGGGGTACTGACGGAGGTAACAAATTTTCCAAGTGAGTGAATTAGAAAATATGGGCTCACGTATAATTAGGACTGACCATACACAGATGTTGTTGTTGTTTAGTTGTTAAGTTGTGTCTAACTCTTTGCAACACGCCAGGCTTTCCTGTCCATCACCTGGAGCTTGCTCAAACTCATTTCCGTCGTGTCAGTGATGCCATCTAACCATCTCACCCTCTGTCGTCCCCTTCTCCTCCTGCCTTCAATCTTGCCCAGCATCAGGGTCTTTTCCAGTGAGTCAGTTCTTCCCATCAGGTGGCCAAAGTACTGGAGCTTCAGCTTCAGCATCAGTCCTTCCAATGAATATTCAGGGTTGATTTCCTTTAGGACTGACCGGTTTGATCTCTGGTATACAGACAATGAGCAGAAATTTCCTGCAAGTTGCCTCCAACTGCAGATAGGAATTAGGGGAAGCTCTTTCTTGTCAAGTACACAAGAAGCCTCTTTTGGTCTCTTTCTGGCTACCCTTAGTGAGATACTGCTCATGGAGTGCGGTGTAAAGTGAGAAGCCCTATACAACATGGCTGCCTGTCTCTTCGGCATCTTGGAGTATTTCAGGAAAAAGACCTGGACTCTCTGCCCACTGGCTTGGGAGGTTCCTGCAACGGCACTGACATCAGGGAGGTTAGGCCTTGGGTGATCCCCATGGGCTGCCACAGCACTTCATGTGGGCATTTGGTGTGTATATAGGCAGGTGATAATAGTGAGGGGCTCACGGGGTACATGTGGACACAAGCAATGTCAGCAAGGGATAGATGATGGCTTTCCTCATTCCCCATCCTCAACGCTCATACTGAAGCCAAATGCTGGGACCTAGGAGCACATGGAGCTCGGGGGAGGAGAGGCTATGAGCAGGGGGTGCCACGTGGAGGGGGTGGCTTGGTGATAACTCTGATGAAGACAGAAGCAAGAGCCTAGATGTCTAAAGGGCAGACCCAGACTGGACATCCTGGATGCTCTGCTCACCTGCTGGCGTCTCTCGTCCTCCACTCCCGATGCCGGCAGAGTGGGTGGGGATTTTGTGGTTCTGAACTAGGCCCTGGGAGCTGAGCTCTTCCAGATCCAACACCATCTTCCTGTGACGGCTTCCCTAACCTTGGCCTGCAGTGAACTGAACACTTGGCCTGGATATCTCCCTCTGACACTCAGGGACCAGAGTTAAGACCATGGACTCCGGAGCAGAGACATTTACTCACCACCTGCTTGACTTCTAGTGAATCAATTACCTTGGAATTGTGATAGTGCCTATCTCAAAAGATGTGTTTTGATGACTAAATGAGCCAATGTAAGTATGTTAAACACTTAAAAGGGTGCTTGACACACAAATGCTTCAATTATTTACTTCCTGGGAAGGAGCTGTTATTTCAAAATGTCCCTATTCACCAGCTAAAATGGTGCTAGTGGTAAAGAACCTGCCTGCCAACGCAGGAGACATGAGACCCTGGGTTTGACCCCTGGGTTGGGAAGATTCCCTGGAGGAGGGCATGGCAACTCACTCCAGTATTCTTGCCTGGAGAATCAATCCCACAGACAGAGAAGCCTCCATGGGGTCACCGAGTCGGACACTGAAGCAACTTAGCATGCACTCAGACTGTCAGCTCCAATGGGAGCAAAGCTTCTTCTCTAAATCTGCCCCAGAGCTGGGTGTACTGACTGGGCCAGGAGGTGGTAGAAAGAGCATGAATCCTGCAGTCAGACAGACCTGGGCTCAAATCCTAACTCCGACCGTGAGTTTTTGGTGATGTACAACAGCATCCACTTCCTTTGGCTCAGGGCCAGCTGACAGCAGTCAGACCACTTACAACCAGCAGCAGCCCTGCTTGGCTGAGCCCAGTTCCCTTGGTTCTTACTCAGAGAGGCAGGTGAGAGAAGAGGTGGTCAATCAGAGTGGACGGGGCTGGGGCTGGGGTGGGGAATCCTTCTCCACCAAAGGGCGAATCAGGGGGTGTGGCCCGGCCAGCCACAGAGGGAAAGCAGCTAGACCCACTGGTCCTAGGCTGTCTGTGGGCTGGGGTAGCCAGAGGGCCCTGCTGCCTCACGGTGGGACATGTCCTCCTGCTCCCGAGCACATCAATGTGCCACTAATGAAATTGTTCTGGCTTATTTACCAAATTAATACAAATGGCACAGGCTGTTAATTTGCACATCTCCTAATTACTGAGGAAGTGCTCCTGTCCCAGGCAGCACACACACCTCAGTTCCCATCCAGGCGGGCTGTGGTCTCACCCTTCCTGGCTGCAGCTGCAGGGAGTGGGGAAGGGGAGAAAGAGAGAGGAGAAAAGGAGATGCGGGGCAGGCTTCCAACCCAGCGAGGGAAAGCGACAGTGGTGGCATGCATGTTTCGTTGCTCACAGCCCTTTTCCTAGTGGTTGGATTATCTTGGCCCCCGCCACAAACATATTCTCAATCCCTAACCTACCACCCCAACTGGTCCCCTTCTTTCCTTGTCTGGATTCTGTCCAGCTTCTTAACACAGGAGCTGCTTCAATCAAGCGGGCGGAGGGGGCTGAGTCATTCTCCCACTCCAGGCAGTGAGGCACCGTCTGCCCGGGGGAGCCATGTGGGGCCAGCCAGGTGAGGCGGGTGGGTGTGCAGGAAGTAAGAGGAGTGAAAGGCAGGCTGGGCTGATGTTCTTACAGAGAGGACGACTCACCTGTCCAGGCCCTCCCCAGCCAATCAGCCTTCTGAAAGTAATGTGTGTGTCTGGGGAAGAACACCCGAGAGCTCAGCTAGAAGACCAGAGGAAATGCCAGCCGCCGTGGGGCTTCATTTGCTGTCCGGTCTCTCCTGATCCAGCAGCCAAGACGGATGTCCAGTGGCTCTGAGTCTGGGGGTGACACTGTGAAGACCAAGGGCACCTCCTGTAGCCTTCTTCATGGTAGGGTGGGGGCGGAGTGCGCTGGAGGCTGCCTCCAGGAAAAGGTGAGCTTCAACAAGGCCGCCAGGGGCACTCAGGGAAGAGAACTTGAAGATACGGAACCGGGGAGGACGCACAGCTGGGGGCTGCGTGCTCTGGGTGCTGACTCAGGGCAGCCCAAGGAGGTAGAGCACAGAGGGGACTTCTGGCAAAATGCAGGAGTGGCCAGAGTCTCCCCTCCCATATAACCCCTCTTTCCCTTTTTGTGTATTGGGAGGATGGATGAGAGGTAGTCTCCCCCAAGAGCCTCTCATCCTCTCTCCTGCGCAGCGCCCAAGGCAGCAGAGGAAATCACTGAGCCTCAGCCCCACAGGCTGGGAGGCCACGGAATGCCTGGAACACAGCTGCCAGGGACGCTTCCTCCCCCCAGGGAGGTGGCTGCCTCAGGCAGGACAGGTAATCCCAGGTAAGCAGCAGCTCCGAGCACCCCTGCTCTGGAGCATCTGGGAAGGAAGACTTCCTACACCAGAAGGGTGAGAGGATGCTGGCTGCATGTTCCTCCTGAAGGCAGAGCAGGAGTGCTCAGCGCTACCCCTGGGGAGGTGACGTCAGGGGCCCCAGTGATAGGCAGAAGCCGCCACCCTCCCCATACGCTGGCTGGTCCCAGTCCTGCTTTCAGTAACCCCAAGGCCATGGGCAGCAAGGATGGAACTGGGAACAAAGGAGGAGTGAGGCTTGGATGAGGAGAAGGCTTAGAAGCGCAAAGCAAAATCCTTGGACTAAATAGCCATCCAGGGACCAGCTCTGCCTCTTCTGGGCTGGGCACCCTCCTCCAGTTGCTCTACGTGTCAGTGAGCGCTGAACCAGGTTTTTAAGGCTTTCTCTGCTCAGAACTTCCTAAGGTATGAGCTGGGATTGGGGGTGGCGGCACTGGTGGTGCACCGGTATGACTGGGAGGCGCTGAGAGAGCGGATCGACAAGGGGTTACGTGGAGAGAAGGGCCGGCCGGGAGGCCCTGCAGCCAACCCGGCAGGAGCCTGTGGAGAGGGGAAGTGGAGAGCTGGAGAGAGGAAGAAAGGCACTCCAGCTCTTCCCCACCCATGCATCCCAACCAGAGCTTTCCGCGGGGTAGGCGAGTAGCAATCCGGAGCAATCTGAGTGCCACCGAGCCTCCTCTCCTGCCTCGCACAGGCAGCCACGCTGCTGGCCGGGTTGCCACCATCCCCCATACTGCTGTCATATGCTCCCGCCGCCAGAGCCGTGAACTTGAAGAGACACCTCACCTTAATATAGTAGCAGCTTAACAGAGTCGACTCGTCCCCTCCACTCGTGGCCGCGCACGCGCACCGATGTCTTTCAGAGATGATAAGCATTAACACGATGCAATTAATAATGTAACGCTCTGGGAGCCGCAGAGGCAGTGCCTATGAAATGCCTCCTGGGCCGAGGGTCCATCCCAAACTTCCCTGTGCTCCTGGAGAAGCAGGGCTCCAGTCCCTACCAGTGTGTTACTACCCAACCCCTCAACACCTGCAGACCAGATGACGTGTTCAAGCCCAACCCACAGCGCCCACTGTTCTCTGGAAAATCTCGTTTCTGACATTTGTGAGCTGGTCTAAGCCAAGACCCTAGGAATGCCTGCAAATCTGGCCTGGGTTGGCACAGTGGCCAGGAAATCCTGGAAATTGAGGGTTGGCCTGAGCACTGGGTGAGATGGCCCAGCTAGGAGCTCAGGGCTTCCTCCTCTCTCTCCTGTAATACCTCAGGGGTGAGGGGTGGGATGCCAGAGGTGGGGGGCCAGGGGCAATTCCTGGTCATGCCTGAGGTGAAGAGGAGGAGCCAGGGCAATCAGCGGCGTGCAGTCTGCTGGGAAATGCAAACCTGCTGACTCCAGGCCTTTGCAAGCGGTAACACAGTTTACAAACTGACGCAATCTGTTCCTTTGGTGCAGACAATAAGGAAAGCAGACTGTTCATCTTCCCAGGAAAACCCGGGGCTGCAAACTGAAGGGCGATTTAACTGTCTCTTCCCTGAGGTTCACGCAGGGAGTGTGGCTGAATTGGTGGCCCTACCCCTGTGCGGGGCACCCCCACTGGCATCCTTTCCCACAGGCTTCCTGAGCTCGAGGCTGGCTTTGGAAGTCCTTCTGAAAGTGGGGTGCACCTGAACGGTCCAGCTTCTCCTCATGCTCCTGGTGATGTGGAGAAGAGCAGTGAGGACTGCTCTTCATCCAGTCTCCAGACAGCACCCGGGGCCCCCCTTGGTCTGGGCCACAAGGGGTTCTCCCAAGCCCAGACGGAGTCCCTGAGGCTGTACCTGTGCCCTGCAGGGACTGAACTAGGGGTGAGAAGTCGAATGGCCTCTTTCCTCAGGAGAAATTAGTGTATGACCTATGGTGGCTCAACGGTAAAGAATCTGCCTGTGATGCAAGAGCTGCAGGGAATACCGGTTTGATCCCGGGGTTGGGAAGATCCCCTGGAGGAGGACATGGCAACCCACTCCAGTATTCTTGCCTGGAGAATCCCATGGACAGAGGAGCCTGGAGGGTTGCAATCCGTGGGGTCGCAAAGAGTCAGACATGACTGAAGCGACTTAGCATGCATGCACATGACCCATGGAGGAACCGTATGAGGCTGTCAAATCTGACTCAAAGGTAACCAAATCGGGTCACATCTGAACGCCAGCTATGCCTTTGTAGGCCCTTACACCTTCCTGATGCCAAGGTCTGCTCGTGGGCAGGTGTACTCTGCTTTGCGGATCTCAACTCTCAGGCTTTACCTGAACCACCATGGGTTTCTGTGCAGGCCCACACTTTGCTTTTATAAAGCGCCTATGGTGGCATTGTTACCCCAAAAAATAAAGTCTGTCACTGTTTTCATTGTTTCCCCATTTATTTGCCATGAAGTGATGGGACCGGATGCCATGATCTTAGTTTTTTCAATGTTGAATTTTAAGCCAGCTTTTTCACTCTCCTCTTTCACTTTGATAAAAGTTCCTCTTTGCTTTCTGCCATAAGGGTCATCTGTGTCATCTGTGTAGCTGAGGTTATTGGTATTTCTCCCGGCAATCTTGATTCCAGCTTGTGCTTCATCTAGCCCGGCATTTCTCATGATGTACTCTGCTGATAAGTTAAATAAGCAGGGTGACAGTATACAGCCTTGACGTACTCCTTTCCCTATTTGGAACCAGTCTGTTGTTCCATGTCCAGTTCTAACTGTTGCTTCTTGACCTGCATACAGATTTCTCAGGAGGCAGGTCAGGTGGTCTGGTATTCCCATCTCTTTAAGAATTTTCCACAGTTTGTTGAGATCCACACAGTCAAAGGCTTAGGCGTAGTCAATAAAGCAGAAGTAGATGTCTTTCTGGAACTCTTGCTTTTTCGATGATCCAGTGGATGTTGGCAATTTGATCTCTGGTTCCTCTGCCTTTTCTAAAGCCAGCTTGAATATCTGGAAGTTCATGGTTCATGTACTGCTGAAGCCTGGCTTGGAGAATTTTGAGCATTATGTTGCTAGTGTGTTAGATGAGTGCAATTGTGCAGTAGTTTGAACATTCTTTGGCATCGCCTTTCTTTGGGACTGGAATGAAAACTGATCTTTTCCATATTTTTGGGCTCCAAAATCACTGCAGATGGTGACTGCAGTCATTAAAAGACGCTTGCTCCTTGAAAGAAAAGCTATGACCAACCTAGACAGCATGTTAAAAAGCAGACACATTACTTTGCCAACAAAGGTCTGTCTAGTCAAAGCTATGGTTTTTCCAATAGTCATGTATGGATGAGAGAGTTGGACTATAAAGAAAGCTGAGCACTGAAGAATTGATGCTTTTGTACTGTGGTGTTGGAAAAGACTCTTGAGAGTCCCTTGGACTGCAAGGAGACCCAACCAGTCAATCCTAAAGGAAATCAGTCCTGAATATTCATTGGAAGGATTGATGCTGAAGCTGAAACTCCAATACTTTGGCCATCTGATGGGAAGAACTGACTCAGTAGAAAAGACCCGGATGCTTGGAAAGATTGAAGGTAGGAGGAGAAGGGGACAACAGAGGACCTGATGGTTGGATGGCATCACTGACACAACGGGCATGAGTTTGTGCAGGCTCCGGGAGTTGGTGATGGACAGGGAAGCCTGACATGCTGCAGTCCATGGGGTGATAAAGGGTCAGACATGACTCAGAGACTGAACTGAATGGTGGCATTAGTAATTATTTATTTTCCTTCTACCCTGGAGAAAAAGAATCTGGCTCTAGGGAATTTTCTGGAGGTCCGGTGCTTAGGACTCTGTGCCCTCATTGCCAAAGGTTGGGAGTCAATCTCTGGTTGGGGAACTAAGATCCTGCAAGCCCTTGGTGTGGCGCAAAAAAAAAAAAAAAAAAAAAAACCCCAAAGAGAACCCAGCTGTAGATCACAGTCTCTTGCTTTCTTGGGCACCTGTCTCTATCAGTCACCTTTTCCTCTAATCACCACCCGACTCCCTTTCTATCAGCATCTACCTCTTTGTCTACTAATCTCACTCTTAGAAAACCTAGCTCTGACCTTGCATCCAGTCCAGTCGACCTTTCTCTCTGAACCCAGGGACCTCTTTCCCTTCACCTCCATCCACTCCTCCATCTCACACAGCCAATCGACATTCCAACGTGATTATCACTTCAAAGGTCACTCAAGATCTCTTAATTGCCATTTTATTAATTTCTTCTAAGGCATCTGACAAAGCTAAGCACTGCTGCCTTCTATTTCGAAGCTCTTTTTTAAGGCCTCTGTGATTCCCAACATTCTCCACACTTTCTTAGTGTCAGTTGTGAATTCTTTCCCACCAACACGCCCGGTGAATTTGGACATTCCCTGGGGGGCCATCTGAAGCTATAGACAGTCCCTGTATTGCATGGCTCAGAGTTATATGACACCACTGCTCCTATTTCCAGCCCAGACTGCTCTTCAGGACTCACCTCCACCATATACATTTCAAATGTAATGAGCCCAATCCTGAATCCACTATCTTCACTATAAAACCTGCACTTCCACCTGCGTTTCTGATCTCACTCAGAGCGAGCAACTCAGAAATCATCCTGGACTCCTTTTACATTCACAGTCAACACCCAGGTCACAATGGTCCTGCTTCATAAACATCTCTTGAATTCTCCCCATCTTCTTTATCCTTCCTGCCACTCCCTGAGTTCAGGTCCTGGCTTTGGGGTAACACTCCCTGCCCCCAGCCTCGCCACTTCCCAATGGCCCCTTGACGATGCTGCAGGGCATTGCTTATCATAGGCAGTGCAGCTCCGTGGTTAGCCTGACCATCGGGGTTCACATCCTGCTCTACTCCTTATCAGCGGTGTGGTCTCAAGTGGGTCCCTTAACCTCTCTGGGTCTAAGTTTTCTCCTGTTAAATGGGCATCATAATGGCAGTTACCTCAAAGGGTTTTATTAAAGAATAAATGAATTGACCCAAATCAAACACTTAAGAGGAGTTTGGCATATAGGACATTCTCAACAGATGTTGTCACTTCGCAAAGAAACCCAACAAACAAACTGGATCACTTTTTCCTTTGCCAAAATCTTTTCCTTAATTCTCTGCTAAAGTTCAAATTCCTCAGCACTGTAGAGGATCAATTCCTTATGAAACTGGGTTGTTGCTGGTCTCACCTTCCGACCATTCTGGCCCTCATTATTTTGGCTCGAGTCATGCCAAACCACCTCCAGCTTCACACAGGTGCTTCGTCCCAGGCCTCTGGGCAGGCCACTCCCCCTGGCTAGAATACTTCTTCCTACTGCTAAATCAGTGAGCTCCAACTCAACCCATCCACCAAACGTCTACACACTTGGACCACACCTTTATATACTTAATGCGTTTCCTCACAGGACTTTGTCCACACCAATATTAACTGTAGCATTCATTGTGGGCATTTATTAATGGTCTGTTGTTGTCCAGTTTCTCAGACATGTCTGACTCTTTGCGACCCCAGGCTCCTCTGTCCATGGCACACAGTAGGCACACAACAGATGTCCTAGCTTCTCCACGTCACTGGCAGAAGGGAAGTTCCTGGGACAGAAAAGTTCCCCTGTCTTTGGAGAAGTCCACTGGCACCCAACTGATGGGAAAAGGCCTGTTTCGAGAACCCCTCTAAGGACACAGAGCGTTCGTTCCCACAGAGCATCCACTCACAGAGGAGCTCAAACTGGCTTTAGGCCGTGATGACTCAGAGGGACTGGACGTCACAAGCAGGTGCTGTTTGCGTCTGCTCTGCCAGCACTGACTGTAACGGGAGCGAGGCCGGGTGCCCCTCTCTCTCTGGGCAGAAGCACAAGCAGCAGCTGCGTGTGCCTCCCCAGCCCCCGGCCTCCATCCCAGAGCAAGGCAGGGGTGAGGAGCCAAGCCAATGGAAGACAGCTAGAGGAGGAACTACGAGGACAGGACAGGGCGAGGCCCCAGGCCACTGTCGGGGGCTAAAGCCTCCAAGCCAGGGGCTGGGCGGGCTGGTTGGAACGTGGTAGCCTGAGGGAACGTCTGAGCACAGGGCTGAGAAACCCTCAAGGTCTCCAGCCCTCCTAGGAGAGCAGGGATACTCCCGAGGAAAGTCAACGGCAGCTGGAATGGAGGAACCTGAGGTGTTGATGGGAAGCCAACGCCTCATTCAGCCACGTCAAAGCCATCAAAACTGGGCTGGGCTGGGACAGGAGTGTGTGCGCTGATGGAAGGGGACACGGGGCTTCTCCTCTTTCATCATCACCTGGTCTCTAGGCAACAGGGCCACAGACACCAATCCCTTTTGCCAGAAGAAGGCACCAGAGAGAAGGACCTGAACAGACAGAAATTCCACACTGGCAGCTAAGGACCAGGCAGTTTACTCATTCCATTGAACTCAATATAAGAAACGGCAAACAATCTCACAGAAACACAGAATGCCCATCCTTCCTGATGAATGTCAGATCCAGGGCATGAAAGGACAGCTGGAGGCCCTGTCCCCAGAGGAAGATGCCCTGCCCCACACCCCCCTTCGTTTCCTCCTCACGTCTCCCTCACCATCCAGCTGGCTCAGAAGGTACCATCTCCTATGGGCTCCTTTCAGGCAGTCCCCCAACCCTGGAGTCATCATATCCTTCCTTAAATCCATCCTGCGTTCACCTGCCAGTCACGAAGCCTGGCCTGGCCTGCTGAGCCTGCCAGGCAGCACATCATGTGTGTGCTGTG